GAACATTACAATAGAACATAGATGAAAGAAAAATTTATTTAAAAAAGACACTATAAGACATATGTATTCTCCTCCACAGTTCTCCCTTCTTCTCCAAACTCGTCTCCAAATCATCCACAGCCTTCCTTTTGTCCTTCTTCTCAGCTTCCCAGGCATCTGAAGAAATCTCCACGTTGAATTTGTCTCCATACTCCTTCAAAGTCCCATTGAACATTCTTCCATTCTCCTCTCCTATTGGAATTCGAATGTCTGTGGTTTTCTTCCGTCTTCTATAGTGGATCATGTAGTATTGGGTTCCTCCGATCTCTTTGATTGCCATGATTTCGGCGGAATAGGGGAATTTGGAGCCGTCTTTTTCGTAGAGGCACACGAACACCTTGCTGGTGATAACAGTGGGTTGCTGAAAATTGTCCCTATTAGGGGTACAAAGAGAGAGAGAGAGCGAAATGTCTTTGCGAGGGAATTTCTTTGTTAAATATTTTAATTTTCATATTTTTAATTGTTAATCAGTTTCAATTCAGGACGACAATTGTCAATATGTAAGGTTTGTGAAAGTACCTAGCTTCTAAATTTTTGAGATTCTTACTAACAGGATGTCGGAACCAGTTCAATTTTTCAAATTTCTAATGTTTTGAATTTTTTATATTTGACAGAAGGACAGAAAATTAAAATTCCCAACGGTGGCTTATAATTTCTGGTTAATTTTCCAAACAATGAAAATATTACAGCAACTTGTTCTAACCTTCAATTTCTTAAAGTAATTAGAATATTTGAAATAGTAGTAGAAAGATAATTATTCAANATTGATTCAGGGGGTTTTTGGGTTAAAGGAATCAGAATAATTTCAGGAAAATAAAAGCGTTATCCCCAAATCCATACACTTTTAGAACTTACGAGAAGAATACTAGAGAGGAGACACACCAATCACATCGTGCGAGTAAAATACGAATGACTAAAAAAGAAAGAAAAAGGAAAGAGGGTTGTGTGAGCGTGGCCGACTGTTCGTTTACAATAACTGCTAAATGGGTTGGTGTGCCACTAGCTCTTCTGGGAAGGTTATATTGCAATGAACCTGTTGATAGACGATTGTTCGTCTTAATCTCCGTAATTTCATTGTATTCTGGCAGTCCCTATGTTTGAAAGACACAGTGACATCATCTGTTGCTCGGACATTTTCTAACTCTTGGCACACTAATATGTAACCTTTTTCCCTTATTACAAAAAAAAGCTTCAGAAAAATACTGAAGTTCTCTGAGGCTCTCTTTGAATTATGAGAAAAACACATTTTTATGGAAAATAGCAACCTTAATTTTCAAAGCTTTTGATTTTTTGTGTTTAATTGCAAATTTCAATCATCATCCCTGGACACAATTTATTGAAACGCTCGTTGCCAGATTTCGAGAAATTTAGTGTTTCCGGACTTTCCGGAGTAAAATGACCCGACACACTTGAAACAAATATAATTTTTTCAATACAATGTTCTATTGAAGTTCTAAAAGTTTTTCGTCCGTCAAAACATCGCAAAATTCGAATTTCTAAAACCACAGTAATCCGATATATTTGTTTAACATCAACACAAATCTACAACCGGGTCTGTCTGACTGACGCTTCAAATTTTCAGGCCGATGATGTCAGATGCAGACAGAAGAAGACGACCCAAGTTCATGAGAGATGTCTAGATTTAAACTGGAAATGTACTCATATTCAACTTTTTTTTCCTCCATCGCCTGGAATTTTGTCCATATGCATCGATAGCAATCACGAATGGCCAATGGATCGAAGAGGCATTTTCCTTTTTTGGTATATGTAGATTGAATCCAATGTCTTCAAAAAAAGGAAATGACTAGTTTATCAGCCGAAGTGTGTACAGTTAGATTTTCAAACAAATGCGAGAAATACGAGTAACTTTTATAAAACGATTTTGAAAACTAACCTCTCGCTTTTTCAGGTAAAATCAATTATAGTAAGAAATTTTCGAAACCATATTCATTAATAGGATTTCTCAAAAAATTTCTAGAAAGAAATAGCAGTTGGAATACTCAGAAAAATAACGGACAAACTCTCCAAAATCCATTCATTTACAAGATTTTTGGAGAGTTTTCGGGGAAAATGGTCAGACGTCTATTCAGAAAGTCGTCATAAGGGGGAACTGATTGTAAGGGTTTATGTATGTGGTTGAATGTCATTGGATTGACGCACGGTGTCCCTCTCTGAAAATCAATACGCCACACTCTCTGAAAATCAATACATTATTTCCAATATGTATTTTAGGGTCATCACACTAACCTACATCATGCATATGTATGGGAAAGGCGCTGAAGACTACCACTACGTCACGGTGGTCTCAAATTTTTGGATGTTTTGACCAAGGTTGTCAGAAATGACTGTCTAGCGTGTGGGGCCGAGGAAGGTTTGTTAAAAATCAACAAATTTACAAGTATATAAAAATGGGTTGAAAATAGAGAAAATTGTTGAAAATAACAAAAATGACAGTTCAATATGAAACTTATTGTGAAATAGAGAAAACAATCATTTGTATAATTTTGTTTGCTTCGAATGTCATTCGGTTTTCCCAGAGCAAAAAAGACTTTCCGAAGTACAGTAACCGGATAAACTGAAAATAAATCAAAACCCCTCCACACGATGGTCAGTAGAAATTTTGTAAATTTTTCCTTTAGCCAGAAAATCGAAAAGATGCAAATTTCGAAAACTATAGTAATCTGAAATTTCGTACTTTTATTTGAGGATAAGCATAATCCTACTTTAGACGTCTGTCTGACTGAGTTTCTGAAAGTTCTATATCATTGACGTCAGATTCGAACAGAAGAATATCATCTAAGTTCAAGAGAAATGTCTAGGTCACCGTGACTGAGCAGTCATACCATTCTACTTTCCCATACACATGTATATCTCAGGTGAGTGTGATGTCCCTAAACGTTGACATAACCCCTTTTCTCCTACACATAAATTGAGGTATTATAATTGTCTTAAAGTTTGAAGTGTGATATGTATTAGGTTGTCCAAAAAGTCTTTGACACTTTTCTTCGAGAGGCGTTTTCTTCAAGGAAAATAAGAATCAATAAGAAATGTATTCACTATTGGAGTTTATAGCTTTTTGCCAGCGCAACAAAAGTTGGATGATTTGAATGGCCAAAAATTCGGGGGGTACAATGATTCGGGGGTACAAGGGGGTACAACTGATTTAGGGGTACAAAATTGGTGATTCGGGGGTACAAAATTCGTGGGTACAAAAATTCGGGGGTACAACGATTCGGGGGTACAATCTACCAATGATTCTGGGGTACAACTTATTTCATTTAGGGGTTCAACGTTTGTGATTCGGTGGTACCATTTTTTTTGACGAAGTTTCTGAAATCCTGAATTTCAGAGCTTGAGAATCTCAGAATTCGGAATCTGAGAATTTCGAAACTTCAGAGTCTGAGAATTTGAAAATTTCAGAACTTCAAAATCTCAGAATTACAGAACTTCAGAATTCTTAGAATTTCAGAACTTTGGAATTCCAGAATTCGCAATCTGAAAATCCCGTAACTTCAGAATCTGAGAATCTAAGAATTTCGGATCTTCAGAATCTGATAATGCTAAAAATTAAAAATATCAGAACTTCGGAACTTCAAAACTTCAGGACTTCAAAATCTCAATATTTCAATAAAGACAATGAGAACTGTGAAATGATTTTAACAAATTTTACAAACGGATTTTAATGCCAGTCGATACTTTCCTCACTTCCAATTTTGCCCAATTTTATTTCTTAATTCTTTTTCATTTCCTTTTGTTTCTCAATATTCCTTCGTTTTTTCAAAAAAGAAAAAAATCCTGCATAACTGATTTACATTAAGCAAGCTTGGGGTTTTAATTACTGAGTTGCTTGTGTTGCTACAAAACTAAATGTGTTAAAGCAATTAATTCTAAGCAAGAAATTTCTAGAAGTCTGCAAAAATCAGAAAAAATTCGAAAAAATGAACGGAACGACTAGTGGTCCGGAACAAAATTCCTGTCAGTCCCTAAATCACTAAAATTAACTGGCTTATCTACACATGAGGTGATTAAAGTAGACAACTCACCAAACTTTCATCAAGCCAAGATGAGCAATTCCATAATCCAACGAAATGCATCCAATGGACAACAGACAAGAAATTAAATCTGACGGAAGTTTAATTTTGTTGATCATTTGAATTTCATCAAAATCAGTATGTTCATGCTAATATTTCGTCTGATAACCTGTCTTGAAAATTGAAATCATAGTGGGAGACATTATGCAAAAAAATCCTTAAGAACTAGATGAGTAAATTTTCTTACTAGAAAACTAAACACTAGACAAGTAAATTGTATTCACATTTTTAGTTCACCTTATTTAACCACAACTGAAAACAAACTTACATTCTGAAAAATAAGAAGAATAGGCTGATACACACTCTGCCTGCTTTTAAAGCGCATTTTTTCCGGTAAAAAGTCGGAATTTGGCAAGTGAGACTATTTTAGCAAATGAGCACAATTAGCAACTAACGAGCATTTAGTAGAAAATCATCGAGCTAATGAGTATCTGCCATAGAAACTACAGTTCAAAATGAGCAACGCTTGTTTGAATATACAGGGTGGCTTTAAAGTATGTGTTTTTTTTTGCGCGTTCTACTGCCGATTAGAGATCTGCTTCCAGATGTTTCCTATGATTAATGAATAAATTCAAATGAGGATTTAGGGCAATAAAGTATGATGAATAAGAATAAACTGATAGGTTTTGTGGAATCTCGAAGAAGTTCGAAGTACTGTGTATCTATATAGAATAAGTTTCAAAAATTATTCAATTATTCAGTTTTTGAAAAGTTTATGTATAAAAATCGCTTAACGCTTTCAAAAAGTGAAAAACCGTTGAAAAAAAAGGTTTCGGATGATTTACCGATGTACTTGTGAAATGAAAACTCGGCCCGGTGAGCACGGTATCAAACAATTAAATTACAATTTGGTTTTTTTTTTCGTTAAAAAATTGTGATTCAGCATTTTGTCTAGTTTTATTCGGTTAGTTGATTTGTCTGGTATACCTGGAGAAAACGGAGCAGGTACGAGGCGGATCATTACATAACACCTTCCCCACTCATGTTCCCAGATGGCGTCGCATTGAACCTCGACGGTCATGCAGATTCAAGTTGAAATTAATAGAGCACATATGCTACCGAATGACGGCTTATCAGAGAAGTTATACGCGACAAATAAAAAAAACCAAACAGAACTTGGAAAAATGCAGTATCGAAATGTTTTAACGGAAGAGAACTCAAAATGTTTAATGCCGAGCATTCAATTCATAAGTTCGTCGGTAAATGAACCCAAAATCTATGTATATCATGTCCTGATGCAGTTTCCTGAAACAGCGAACCTGTAAATTTCATATCTGATTCTAAACTTAATATATGATTTATTGAGGTGATGTTTAAATATCTCACAAACACATTTGTAAGAGGATTGAGGATAATTGAGAAAATGGGAAAGTAAAATTGGGAGTTATGGGTAACTGGGAGAACCTTTTTAGATTGGACTTTTGGAGTAATTGAAAGAGAACCAACAAAATGGGCCAAATCGTTGGAAGCAGTCATCTTCTTTGTCTTCTTCTTTGGAGGAGCGGCTACGTCGGGGACGTGGAACATATCCAACGGATAACATCGTGACGGGGCTGAACAACGACGAGGTCGATGCTACTGATTAGTTGAAGGAACCGAAGTCGGAGTAGCAGTTGCTTCTCAACTACATCCGAAGCGCCTGGAAATCCAGAAATCAGGCCACCTGATCACATGAATACGAAACAATTACCTTTACTGCTTTCACGGTTCCAATCTCTTAGTCTTCACTGGTAGATAGATCTTTCTCCTTGGGAGTGTTCGGTGGGTCGACATTCGCCATGATCGCTTCGACTGTTTTTTTCTTAGTGTTGATAACGGCTGCGGGACTTGGAGTTTCATTCTTTTGCAGCTTGAACCACTTCCTAGACGAATTCGCTCACGCTCAGAAGGAGAACAGAAGACAAGCCTGCAATAATATATTTAAGCATTGAGCTTTTGAAATCTATGAAACATATCTTCTTCATTATCCGGTCCCGATTGGATAGGTTCGATATTTTCGCCGTTATCCTCTTGCATGTCAGGCTTCTCAAACGACACCTACACGTGAGAAGAGGATATAATAGTTCAGCACGCTTCCAAACCCAGTGACTAGTCTACCACACTCAACTCATATGTATTCTTATCGAACAATCTCAATTGGAAAAGCTTGTCTAGAGAATCCATTTTCATTGTGATCCTGTCGTTTGATTTCTCCCTGAAATCGCTTTTTACAGTTGAAATACATTTTTTTCTGCGTTTGTGTTGATCCATCTTTCCATCTGCTGCGTTTGTGTTGATCCATCTTTTCATCGGCTGCGTTTGTGTTGATCCATCTTTTTATCTGCTGCGTTTGTGTTGATCCATCTTTTCAGCGGCTGCGTTTGGGTCTATCCATCTTTTAGCCATTTCGTTGATTTCAAATCTATGGCTCACCCATTTGAAGAACCAGTTGGTGATAGTGGGCATCTTAAAAAATGATATTTTTGAAAAATAGTTAGGGGCGGAATATGAAGCTTAGAATTCTTCCCAAGATCGGAATAGTTATTTTGCTTTCAATCTTGAAAAAATGAATGGAAGCTACTAGTGGTCCGGAAACAAATTCCAGTCAATCACTCAAAGATCAACTAGCATATACACATGAGATGAAGTAAATAACTCACCAAACTTTCATCAAGCCAAGATAAGTAATTCCATAATCCAACGAAATGCATCCATTGGGCAACAGACAAAAAATAAAATCTGAAACTGGTTTACTTTTGTTGATTATCTGGCTTTCACTAGCAAACCAGTGTAATGCTAATATTTTACCTGAAGACCTGTCTTGAAAATTGAACTCATTAGGGGCGACATAGTGCAAAAAAATCTTTGAGAATTAGACAAGTAAAATTTCTTACTTGTATTCACAATTTTAGTTTTCACTAACAATGGAAAAAACTCACATTCAGAAAAATAAGAAAAATAGGCTGATAACACACTCTGCCTGCTTTTGAAAAAATCGACCTTGTCCGAAGATCACAGTCACATTGTCTCCAAAGCAAAATATATGGAGAATCTTTTTCTGGATTTTCTTTTTATAGTTTTTCAAAGAGGGCGGAGCGAAATCACTCTGGAGCGGAGTGTGGGCGGAGTCATGATCGAACAGCGCGTCGGTAACATATGCTCTATCGTTTACAATTTGAATTTGCATGATCATCGAGGTTCACTGAGGAACCATATGGAAACATAGGTGGGGAAGATGTTATGTAATGATCCCTCCCGTACCTGCTATCTTCTCTAGATGCAACACCTTTGCTCCATATGTTCTATCGCTCAAAATTTGAATTTTGAACCCCAAAAAAGGTGACCAAATAGTGGACACTCAGTCGGGCCAAAAAGAGGATTATGTTATGAAATGTTTGGTTACATAATCATTCTGCTGCAGACTCGAGGTCTGCGTCGAGATGTATTTACGGTTAATGAATACATTCAAATAAGGATTCAGGAGAATATAGTATGAGGAATGAAAAGAAACTAACATGATTTTTGGAACATCATTTGAAATTTTGAGAAGACATAGACAACTCGAGAAATGTACACAATTTTTACCGGTTTTCCCGAAACGTTTCGGGAATTTTTCCCGACAGGAGTTTTCTAGAGTTTTTTTCCCGGAAATTTTCTCGAATTTTTTTTTCGGGATTTCCAATTTTCAGATTTCCCAACCCCATTTTCTGCACTTCCGAATTCGAAAATTTGAGAATTTCTTTTTTTTTTTTTAATTTTTTGAGGTTTACGAATTTTCAAAGTCTGGAAAATCAGAAGTTCGGAAAATCTGAAGTTCAAAACTCTCATATACCGTAAGACCTGAATTGGAGGACTGGCCCTTCCACGGTGTCTCCGGAGTGTCCGTTTATCCCAGAAAACGTTTGGAAATTTTTGATTTCAAACAATATAGTTTGAAGGAGAGTCCTTCTATTACATTGTGAACTTCTAATACAGGCTTTTACGGTTCTTAGAATTTGAAATCTGCACGACTCAGGAATTCCAGGAAACTTCTATACAAATTTTAGAAAAATCGCGAGTCCAGTAGATCAGAATCTCATATAAAACTCGTAGATTTAAAAGTTAGCAATCAAGAAAGACGCAGATTCAAGAATTCGGATTTCGAAAGCTCTAAAACTTGAAATTTTCATAAATTTTTAATTCAGCATTAGAAAATCTGAAGTTCGAAAATTTGAAATCTCTAAAACACAGAAATTCGTAAAAAATTCGGAGATTGGAATGAAAACAAAATGCCATCAGCTTTGTTTTTTTGTTATGGGTCCTGGTTTTTTAAAGTTTCAAGGCATTCGAACAATCGGAGCTAATATCTGCTTTCGACTTAAAATCAAATTGGGAGACTTTGCAAAAAAAAAAACAAAAAATTGTCACTCATGGACACGAACACTCATCGCGCTGGCAAAAGCGTAGCTCGCTATGTATTCATCAGAAAAATTGAAACACAAAACGTTCTGCCATTTTGCTTTACATGCGCATGGGCCGCTTAAATTATCCGTTTTGTGCTAGTCCAGGAAAGGGACGTTTTTTGCCTCCAATATTTTTTAATAGGGTTGGCTTGGGGGCAAAAAGGGGCGCCCCGCGGGTGCGGGGCGGGGATTCGCCTAGCCCCGGGAGTCGGTATACTTTGCGTAATTGCGCGTAACTGAATAGACCAATTGACTTGAAAATGTAGGGTAGCCTAATTGGGTACCCTGAATCGTAAAATAATCTAAAAAATTCGGTTACTGATTCTTTAACCAAAGTTGTTTTCGACGAGGGGTGGGCCGGGCTTCTTATGAAAAATATGAAAATGACGTCAACTTACAAAATGTTGGTGATATTATGACAAACATTTTATCAGTTCACAGATTTTTGACATCTAATATACATAGGAACCAAAATAATTAAGCTTTAACTGCTCTAGGTCAACACCGATTGTGTCACCACCACACTTGCACACATTAAGCGAAATTATCTCGCTTCCTATAATAGATATCAAACATT